GCCCCCCCCCCCCCCAACAAAAGAGTACGCCCCCCCCCCGTTCTTTTCCCGATATCCTGCAGATTACAGGAATGGTCGGGCTGCTGGCCCACTATCAGATGCTGTACCTGTCCCTTTTGTATTTTTACGCGTTTTTCAACACCGGCAGGGGAAGACATTGCGGTCAGGGTTAGGGGGGGGGGGGGGGGGGGCGTGTAGCCATATAGCCGTGCATGCCGTAGTCGTTAGACCATTGACCTCGCATCCCTACAAATCCGGGACGGAGCACGCCGGGTTCTCACCGGACCAAGCTCTCACATGACCAAGCGTGAAGCGCCGTGAGGCATTCGGCGAGTCGCATCGAGGGTGTGCTGCGTCCAGCTAAGGTTTTGGGGGGCGGGCGAGTAATAAGTGCACATTTTCTTCAGGAGGAGTTTCTTGACGGCCAGGATAATCGGTGTTTGACTCTCCTCGTACTGCTGTGGTTCTTGGCAGTGGTGGTAGTCGTGGCCACTATCGTTTACCATGTGTTTTTTGTCGTCGTTTGTCGCGCGTACGTACACCGCAGCCTCAGTAGCCTTGGCGAGGATATGAAGCTTGGTTTTTGTAGGGGGCACGCTGGTTGTGGGTTATTGATCGGGATACGAACCCCCCCCTCCGTATTTCATCGAGAATAAAAAAATATTCCTCGCGACGGGGATCCCATTAATCGTCCGGTTTGGGCGTTCTCGATGCTGATGGCAAATACATACACACGCCGCAAACGCCACCCCCCCCCCACGCCGCCCTTTTTCCCCTTGCCGACCCCCGCCTACCGTTGGCAGCCATAGACTGCTGAGCAAGACAGAGGGGATAGCAGCCGTTGTTTTTCCCTCGATGGGGGGGATCGTCGTTCCCCTCGGGGGCATGCTGGGGTGCGCCCGGGGGGGTGCCCCCCCCCCCCCCCCTCCACGGAAGGAAAGAGAGGATCTCGAGGAGGAAATGAGACGGAGAGGGTGTGACATGGGCAAGTTTGGTAAATTAGACAACAGCGAAAAAACGATCGCGATAATTGGGGATAGATAGATGGTGGGCACAAGAGGCCCTAGAGGACGGGGATAAGATGTGCAATAAATTTTTATGGAGTTTGTGGCAGAAACGTAAAGAGCTCCCAAATGTTGGTGGTGTCTCTAGTAGGGGTAGGAACGGTGCTCCGTCTCGAAAGGGACGCGTGGTCAATGGT